GTGGAAGCTCCCTTCCTCCTTTTCCCCTAGGGCTTGAATCACAAAACTCAAAGGATTTGGGGGCTGGTGTTCCCTAATGATGTAAGGCTTATCCTAATTTGAAGAATACTAGGCTTATTGGACAGAAAATAGGAGCTGCCTCTTCAGGCTCAGTCTAGATAGAAGATAATGATGCAACTCCATGTTCTCTGTGAACCCTGTGTGGACAGGATAAATAATCAGAGTGGATTAGGATAATTGTACCAAAACTTTCATTACTTGTACTTTTATGTAACTAATAGCAGTCCTATAACGTAGGTTTTTGTCACTCTCATTCAATTTTTAGATAGGAAAACCAGGAATTTGGGAACCAGAAGAAGTCAAACTGCTCCAAAGGTTTCACTGAATTACAAAAAGAAATGTCTACAGATTGGGGACAGGGGCAGGGGACTAATATCACCCAGGGAATAGTCAATGGCCTGAAGAGGTAGGGTCCAAAAGGAGTGTGGCAGGAAGGCAGGGAGGGGGAAGGGAGATAATGAGAGACAGTGAGGGAGATAGTGAGAGATAATAAGTGCAACAGTGAAACAGAAACAAAAAACAAAAACAAAAACTAAACAAAAAACCAGATTTGAAGAATGTCAAGTAGCACCTGGGGCGAGACCAGAGAAGGGTCACCTTGCCCTAGAGGTTAAACTAGCCAATGAAATAATATGTGGCTATGTATGGGACAAGCTGTACCCCCCTCCCATTTCTGTAAGCTGCTCTAAATGGTATATAAGGAAAGTCCCCTTTATTTTCAGGTTCAGCCTTTGGAGTCCACTGAGTTGCTGCTAGCCTGCTTAATAAACTTGCTTCCCAAAAGCTTTGGTGCCCTGTCTCTCTGTCTGAGCCATCCTACAACTGATGGACAGGAGCTATGTAGTAACCCAGAGTAATGAAACAGGGAAGAGCAGAGTAATAAATTCCCAACCTCCCTGTCCTCTGATCTTGTTCTTTCGTCTGCATACTTCTGACTGGAAACCTGAGGAGAGGGAAGATGCAGTCACAGTCCAGCAAGGCAGAGAAGATGGGAGAGGGAAGGGAGGGGAGATCCAAACTGAGAAAAATCAGTGCAGAAGTTTGGCAAGTGTCCTGATACCAATTTAGTGATTTCCAATGAGCATTTAAAAAACCAATGATATGGAACAGAAAATAGGAGTGCCCTGGGAGTTCCAATCATACAGATCACAACAAATGTAGTTTTCTTTGGATAGCAGCCCCGTAAGATATGATACCCTATTACTTACTGCCTGATACCATATTGCCCTCATATGACTTCAGCCTCACAGAAAGAGCCCTGCATAAATTTCAGAACACAGAAAGGACCAAGTTCAGAGTTTGGTAGTTCAGATTTGTTGGCTCACATTTTGCAAAAGCTGCTCACCAGGGAACAGGTTGGTCACCAGCAGGAGGGGCAGCTGCAGCATAAGGCCAGGCTGTGAAAGAAGCAGTGGCAGCCAGCTGAACATCCTTGTGGCCTCAACAATTCTGGTACCTTAGTCAAAGACTTTATGTGACTCTGGAAAAGAACTGGGGCTTTGTTACCGGGCAGACTTTGTTATGAGCCACTCTAGCTTTCTTTATGACCTTGACATTTATTTACCCTCTTTCTTAATTAGAAACTCTTAGAATTGCTGAAGGCATGTATGTAAATAACAAGACCTGGCATATACATTCAATAAATAATGGTGATTCCCCTTTGTACTGTTAAATCCCACACAGGCTTTTAAGAAAAAATGGCCTTTGTATGTGAGTATACATTCCTTACTGCAAATGCTACTAAATATAACAAGGAATACTTTTATTAAATCACGGTAAAGCTAACACTAATTGCATTCCCAAGTAAATCCCACCAGAGAAAGCTGCTATCAAGACACAGTAGGGGCCAGGATCAGAGGGAAAAAATGGTGTGCAGTTTTGCGTAGGAGGCGTGAATTGGACCTGGTATCATTACTACAATCAAACCCGCTCTGAATTCTTCCTTACTCACTACCACCCTATCCTGTCCACCTCCCACCAACAGCAGTAAAAAGATCTTTTCTAAATTATTTTTTATTGTGCTGTGTGTGGGATACACATTTACAAAGGTTTTTACAATGTATCAAGTATATCATACTTAAATTCACCCCCTCTACTGCTCCCGCTAAAAGTATCTTTTATACTTGTGAGCATTAGAATTACTATTTCAAACAAACACTTTTTATATGAAAAATCAAACTATTGTCCTCTCCAATTGTTATTATTGAATAAAGAATAAAGATTAAACTAAATTATACATTTTCCCAAAATAAGGCTGGCCAGTTTTTTTTTTTTCTTTCCATTAATTGTGACACTAGTATGCTTTGACCCAGGTAATCATTTTCAACTAATGGGGTTAAAAAACCCAAAACTTTTAAAAAAGAAACAATCCCATGATGGAATGGTGTAATAGAAGAGCTTGATTTAGAGAATAAAGTATTTTTTCTTTTCACCTTACAGGCCAAGTCACAACACACATCTGCAGTTCAGAGGATGCTAATATAAACCTTGCCTACTTCTCTCAGCCCATCTTTCTTACTCATATAGTTTCCGAGCAGCTCTTTGATGGACACACAATGTTCCGTCTCCAGGACAAACTGTTCCACAGCCTTGTGTCCTGGCAGAGGGCTGCTCACCATCCCACTTCTGACACTATCCAGGATAACTCCCCGAACATCTCCAGGCTTTCCTGGCACACCGAGGATGATAAACAGGCCTAGACAGTCCTCTCCTATCAGGTTACAGAATTCTTCCAGCTTATCAAATCTACTTTTCTTCCAGGAAGACTCCTCTACCCTTGACTCTGGATTGGAGAAGTCCACAGGCTGAAGAGAAGCCATTCGCAGAGTCTGAACTGCTAGCTGAGCCTTATTTGCTTATTGGATCCCCAAAAGGTCCAAATCCAATCTGTCCCAAACAGGAAGGCTTTGTGCTTGGTCATCTTGGTGGTGGTGAGCCACTCACCAATTCCCTTTTCTTGGCAGAAAGTGATGAAGTGGATTAAGAAGATCTCATTCAGAGTACTGGCAGCAGGACAGAATTTAGTCAGCAGATATTCAAATCCAAGATACTCCTTCAGTCTCTGAGCTGTGTAGATTATAGCTTCACTGACCACCTCACAGACACCGAGAACCTCTTTGTTGTCCTTCAGAGCCAACTGTTGTGATGCTTTTTGTCCCATTTTTTCACACCCGGTCAATACTGCCCTCAAATATCAAGCATGTGTGCGTTGTTCAGAATCGCTTTTTTGAGAGGAAAAGTTCCGCAACAAAGCCACCTCAGTTAATGTGGTCACAGTGTCCCAACTCTATAGGTGCCTTTGTGTAGCTAAGCATATAGACATACAGCTAAACAAACATGGGAGGGTTCCCTGTTTGTCAACCGGGTGTGTTGTATTCATACAGATTCCTGCTGGTTTATTAAGTTACAGATACTAAATTTCACACAAAACATCTGTTTTTCTCTAGGTTATATTCAATCTACTTTTAATCTTTGGTAATCTCTTCCTAGATATGTGTCTTCTTTCCAAAATTCAGTTAAGTTAAAAACAGTAAGTTAGTTTTTTAAAAGGTTAGGTCCATACACCTTTTCTACAACTAATTTTTTCAAATTTGTGTGTCATTTCGGTTTGCTTTTCCTACATCCCTCTGACATGATTCCTCACTCCCCAGCTCAGCTGTTTATGCCCCCTTTCATACCAAAGCTTCTAAAGCAACAACCTCAACTTTCTCTGTTGATACATGTTCAAACAAACTTACAAACGTTTACAAACTAGAAAGAGTTGGTGTTATTTTCTAAATCAGAAACCAAGCCCATCTGTTACTTTGAATAAAGGGAAATTAAATAATGACAATGCAAACATGAGGCAATTATCAATTGACTTTATTTTCTTTCATAAGGTAATACCAACAGTGTATAATATTTTGTAAATAAAATACATCAAAATTTTTTAAACTTATCATATATCATCAGCTATGTTAAAGTGTCCTGAATAAAGAATGTTGGCATTTGTAACAATTTCCTGGTATTTTCAACCAGGTTCTAACAAGAAATCGAGTTTTTCAAATGCTGATGTATATTCACATTAAAATAAAACCCCAGTACCAGAAGAATCCAATACAGTTACCAAATAATAAATGACAGAGTTCAAAGTAAAGCATTGTTACCATCAAATGATTTCAGTTATGAAAAACTGGTATTATACATTCCTTGATGAATAGTTTGGTAACTTGCTGACAGTGTAAAAGAAAATACCATCAACATTCAAAAATGATTTGTAATCAAATCCACTGGCATAAACTGAACCGCCCACCTCCACCCCAATTTGTGAACACCTGTCTTTTCTGCATCTGGCTAGTATGAGTAATAATGCAGTCTTGAATGAAAAATAGATTTTTCCAATACCACTAAAAAAAAAAAAACCCACAGCAACAGTTTTGCTGCAGTTTTCTATTTTCTTTATAAAGAATATTTGGGTTCAGAGTTAACGGAAGCCATGAGCTATACTTAACAAAATAACCATTAGAAAACTAATTTTGCAGCCTCAGACCATTTGAATTCTTATTGAAATAAAATAAAACTCCATTTATTGACAGCTGAGGAATGCACAATTAATATGTTTAGGCAGCCGGTTAGTATGTGAATGTAATGATGTATTTAGCAAAGAGGAAAACAAGAACCTTAATACTGTAAAGGTGTTTTGTTTCTGATTATTTCTACAACTGTTTTTTGAGGGAGATGTGAATGCTTCCAAATCACTGAAGTTAACTGTATATTAATGTTGCTCAAGTTCTTCCTTATAAAGTAAATAGATCCAAGGTTAATGGTGAAGCTTTTTTTTTTTTTTTTTTTGTGGTACGGGGGTCTGAACTCAGGGCCTCATGTTTTCTAGGCAGGTGCTCTACCCCTTGAGCCACTCCACCAGCCCTTTTCTTGCATTGGGCATTTGTGAGATACGGTCTCACAAACTATTTGCCCAGGCTGGCCTCGTATTGCGATCTTCCTGATCACTGCCTCTGGAGTAGCGAGGCTACGGCATGAGCCACTGATGCCTGGTAAAGGTGAAGTTCTTAAACTTCAACAATTCTATGCTGTCATCAAAGACACATATTTCATGTATATTAGTTTAGTCTGAAGGATGAACATTGTAAAAATTCAGTTGTAGAAAAAGAAAGACCATTCTGATCTCTTCAGAAATCAGCTGCTATGTGAAAATTTAGATCACTGTTCTTTTGCTTTTGTTTTTAATATGATCTTTTCATTGTCTTCCTTAGGTCACAAAATAAAAGTTCTATTTTTATGTATGGTATATATACATATACTTAAAAAAATATATAAAAACAAGACAGTAAGAGGCAAGCAGAGGTATAGTTGGCATTTAGCAGGCACAATGAATGTTTCTGGAAACTCTGCATGATGAATTACTTTGAGAGCACAGATGTCCTGCTTCTATGACTGCAGTAACACAATGATGTGACAAAGTCATTCACATACTGGTTACTGCTCCCCAAGCCCTCCACACTGGGGATGTGAATGAAACACTATGGTAAAACACTCATCTTAAATGCAGCTTTAAATATAATACCTCACAGATTTTTACATTAAATAGAGTAAAGCAATTATACTCTCATTCACCAGTGTCTCATTTTTCGTGGCAACTTCAGAACAGGCATGAGTCCCCTGCCTTCCATTTCCGCTTCTGAATGAGCAGAAGTGTGAACAAGAAACAATATACAATCTGTTGGTTTTTGTATACACTATTTGAAAACTAATGAGTCTTCATCTGTAATGCTGGCACTGGGGGAGCAGGCAGCAAAATCTTTAAACATGTCATCTTCCTTTAACATGTGCTGGAAGAAAGCAGATAGGGAGTCACACATTGCGAGTCCGGAGCTCAGACCCACACATTCACCAATGTACATGCAGAGCACTGGGGTAACTTTTAGAGTAACATCTCAATTAACTTACTGTAAGGTTGTTGATGCCTTCAGAGAACGCACCTATCTGTCTTACTGTCCCTTCTGAATCTTCCATCTGCAAAGAACAAACCACAGCATGCCATACCCGTTTTCATGATTTCAAGGAAAGTGCAGCAAAATGAGCAAAAGTCTAAGCAGAAACGATGCAGTGAAGCTGGATGGGGTGGGAGCAACAGAACACTTTGGTGCTTTGGTTTTCAAATGTGGATAATAATTCTAAGTCTTCAGATTACCACAAACATTGTTATATGTTAGGATAGGACCTGGAGTAGCGTAAGCAGTCTGTAAGTGTTCGCTGTTATTTTATTATCCTTATTTTTAGGCATTTGAAGAGAACATCCATGATTAGTGGATACTGTGTATAAAGCTCCCCCGTAGTGGCTGAAGGCATTTAAAAGAGGTTTATGGTGTTGCATTTACCTGCTCTAACTGGTCCAAATTATCTTCATCATACAGGCCCATGTCCAAACAATGTTTAAATCCCTTTTTAGAGGTACTTCCTGACGCCTGTCCCAATTCCATTGGACAAACATATTCTTCTCCATCTTCCTGTTTCTTTTTTCTCAGATTGCCAAAAGTGCTAAAGGTAAGTTTCTTTGGCTTTGAAAGCAAACAAAAAACAACAAAGGGTTTGATAAAATTTATATGGCAAAGAACTGATAACATGTACCATTTAATTATTCATCACAGAGAAACGTAACTAGATCATTAAATTTGTGTAACAAAAGGACATACAAATGATGCACCCAAATATCTTAACGGTTGTCGTCATAAATCTCAGAAGATTAATGTTATTCTTCTTATTCACACCAACTAACTGGACAGTCAATGTCGCAAGCAAAACACTCCAAGTCCTTTGTTTAGATGACACAGGACTTTCAGGGCTGAATCCAAGCTTCCATGTTTTTTCATCTCATATCAGCAAAAGAAAATGGTCTTTACTGCATTTTCTTTTTGGGTGAAACTATGATTATGTCATTTGCCTCTCTGCTTCCACAACAGGACTGGTGATTGGTAAATGAATTCCCCAGTCTTTTGGAGACAAAATTTCCAGTGATACTTAGAAGAGAAACTCTATCTTAGTCACCATCCAGTCCCTGTGACTATCAGGCTAATGACTGAGTTTAAACAGAACACACTGTCCCACAGGTTTTTTTTAAAGGAGAAAGGGACTCAAAGGAAGATAGAATGGGTAAAAAACAAACAAAAAGAACTTGCCATATATTTCTGGAGAAACCCCTAAGTTCTACCTTCACATTAAGGAGGCTAAGACAACATATTCGGAAGAGTTAATGTAGGAATGATTTAAAAGAAGAAAAAGTAATCTCAATTTGGTATAACCCATGAATTCTGATAAATTAGGAAACACCCACTTTCTGTCTGCCTTGAATCATTTCTTTTTTCTTTTTTGAAATAAGAGTCTTGTTATGTAGCCCAGGCTGGCCTTGAACTCATAAACCTCCTGCTTCAACCTCCTGAGTGCTGGGACTGTGGACCAGGCCCACAGTCATTTCTTGCATATCTTTCCCTAAACTGCAAGGCTGGTCAATTATAAGACAGACAAGCTTAATCTGTATAAGTAGAAATCTCTCTATTTATTTAATTTGTAGTGCTTGGGGTCAAAGCCAGGCATCGCACATGCTAGACAAGGATTCTACCCCTGAGTTATATCTGAAGCTCCCAAATGTTCCTCTGATATCCATAGGAAAAACAGAACAACTGCAATCAGTATTTGGACCCAAGTCACAGGTCACAGGCTCTCTGCATTGGCAATACATTAATTATAGAAGCCAGCATCATGATCTTTATTATTGTCAACTCTAAAATAAATGACATCAGCAGAAACCTTCAAAAATGTATTCTCTTAATTACTGTTAAAGATGTATATTCCCTCAGCTGAGCCACTGCAAACTTCATGCAATTATTAAGTGGTATAAGCTTGAACCCACCTTCACTTTGGCAGTGGCTGTTAAAAGTACATAATCTGGTAACTCCATGGCATCTCGCTTCTGGTGCTGAGCCTCCACACCAAACAGAAGGTTGAAATGAGTGGACAAATGTCTTCGCAGCAAGGTCTTATTAGGTGGGATGTTCAATAACTGAGCCATTGTTTTTACATTAAAACGAGGTTCTAAAACCTGTAAGAAAAAGTAAGATTGTTAATAGAAACCCATCCCCAAAATACTTACAAGGAAGAAAATAAACGTTCATTTAGCTGATTTTTTGGTTCATTGAGGACACGATAAAAACAGTATTTTTCATCAGTCCGTGTAGAAAATCTTTCCCAAATACTCTTGTCACTTTTTCTTTCATGATAAGAAAAACCTAACAAATCCATCATTCTGAGTATTAATGATCATTACTGCTGAGGACAGAAAATTAGGCTAGATATATACTAACTGGAGACCATAGTCCAGGAATGGGCTGTTTCAATAAATTTCTTTTTTTTTTTTTTTTTTGATTTTGTTGTTCATGTGTGCATGCAGGGCTTGGGTCGTTTCTCCCCCCTGCCCCCACCCCCTCCCTTGCCGCCCACTCCGCCCCCTCCCTCTCCCCCCCACCCCCTCGGTGCCCAGCAGGGGCTGTTTTGCCCTTGTTTCTGATTTTGTTGTGGAGAGAGTGTGGGCGGTGATGGGAGGGAGCAGGGGTTTTTGCTGGTTGGGATGGGGGTGGCTGTGCAGGGCATTGACTCACATTCAATAAATTTCTGATACTAGCTCCCCACCCCACCCCCACCAGCATCTGGATTTTCTCACAAGTAGTTTAAATAAAAACTCTGGTAACTGAAAAAAAAAGAAAAAGTAAGATTGTTAAAAGGTACCATAGGTCATACGTTTGCATTGTGCTTTACAGTTTGTGCAGTGCTTTCACTTGGGTTATTTATCTCCATGACTCTCTCGACAGCCCAAGGTATGAACTTCCATCTCTAGTTCACATTTCTTTTCTTTATTTTGCCTGAGTTAGCAAGTGGTGAAGCTGGTGCTGTAATCCACGCTTCAGGTCTTACAATGGCAGCACTTACACCAACCCTTATGCAACACAGATGTGTAGAAATACAATCTGTATCTTTGTAGGGGTTTTAAACCACGATTATATGAGAGACAGCAGCTGGATGTTATTTAATGTGAAAGAGAAATGGGCTTAAATCTGATCTAGAGTTTTACAGTTTAAGTAAAAATACTCTGAAAGTAAAACTCACTAGAAATAGTGCAGGAGGCTTGGGAAATATGACTTTAGAATTATGACAAGCAAACAAACGGATCCTCCTTAGGGATCCTCATCCTGTATCCTACACATTAAACTAAAGGAAATAAAACGAGAAGTCAATTTTCAATTCAATCAGCTTTACCATGAGACCACCATGGACACCACTGCCTCTGAGATTAGGGGCATATTCTGCCAAGTCCACAGAGCGCAGCCACTCCATCACTCGATGATTGGTCCACTGCTGAACCTCGGATGGCGTGATGTTATTCTGCAGGAACAAACTCCATGAGCTTCAGTTGACCAGAGGATCCTCAATACTAAACCTGCAGGCACGGTCTAACAGGTCTGCCCAGGGGAGCACCGCTGCTCAACATTCCAAGAAATGTTTAAAGAAAGGTAAAAGGTCTTTGCTAACTTGAGTTCTCTTTTAAAGAACTAATATACAGAGTCTCAATCTTTCTTATGCACAGAAAAGAAACAGGAAAAGGAGTCTTTAATACTGATAGTTAACTCCATGGATCAAGGAGACAGGAAAAAACAAACCCATCAAAAGGAGGAAGCATAAATGAAAAACAACCATTGGCTTTAGCGATGCAGTGGAACCACCATGGGGAGAAAAGGAAGAGATACAGGAAAACAAAGCCTAAGCAGTAAATGAAGCTAGATTTGAGGCTCCTGAGGAGACCAGCTTTGCCTGCAGGCCCCAAGAAGAAATGCGCCTCACGGACCTGCTGTACACATGCAGTCACACGCATGACAGTGCGTGTGCTAAGCCTCCATCTGAAATGCTACCTTGTCAGATGGCCGCCTCCGAAGGCAGTTTGGTTCAAAGTTATTGATCCTCAGGACCTGGATGGCCCTCTTGATACTGAGATGATGCAGCACACTCACAGCCTTCAAAGACAGTAAGTCGTCCTGTAAAACAGAACAGTTGGTGCTCACTGTGCTGGCTCATAGCAGGAGGACCCTCCTAGGGAAAGTTCAGAAAACTGGAATAAAAGCAGAAGAGCCACTAAAAACAATACGCCCCAAGAGCCTACCAGAGAGTCCAACGCTTTTATTTAATAATAGAACCCCTTTCCTGTTCTGAACAAAATCCTCTCTAGGACCCCAAGTTAATGCTGTTGCCAAAAAAGCTGGCTGCCAACTGCTTCTTTCTCCCCCATGGTCACTATGGAAGATAATCTGTCTGGTTTTTTGTTTTTGTTTTTGAGATAGAGTCTTACTATGTAGGCCAGGCTGGATTCAAACTGTCAATTTTCCTGCCTCAGTCTCCTGAGTGCTGCTGGGATTACAGGCATATCAGGTATATACTACCAAGCCCAGTTTTTTTTGTTTTTTTTTTGAGTGGGTTACTGGCTACTGAACCCAGAGCCTTATATCACTGAGCTACACCCTGGCCCCATTTGCTTTAATTTGCACATTCTGCGAACAAAAGAATCCCTTTGTTCCAGAACTTTATCCGGACACCTAAGCACAGCTAAAGGCACTGGCCAAATGTCCTCTTCCTTTCCTTTCAGCAGCTAGCTGGGAGCCAGTGATGTTCACTGATGATCCAGGGTTGGTTTTCTGAACGAAAGCCCATCATACTTCAGAGAAAATCAGAGGGAACACCCTGGGTACACCATTTCCCTGACCTTAAGAGGTTTTGGTGCTAGTAAGAAGGAGAGGAGAAATGAAGAAATTATAAGTGTGAACATATATCAACAATCAACCCTTCAAGCAAGCCACCAGTCTGTGACTACTGGGAACATCTGCAAACATGCCCAACACATCCAAACAAACTGTTTCAGAGAGGGTGATTTGGGACACACTGACAAGATAAGCACCAGTCTGCTTCCAAACACACCCAGAAAATAAACATGGGAAATATCCATTTGAGGCACACCTCACTGATAACATATTTCTTATGGAAAAAAAGAAAAAATTAATTTACTATGGAAATGTTTTTAACATAAAAATGTTAGCAGTTTAAATCTTTAAGGCTACTAACTGAAACTTTCTCTGGATTGATTTTTTTAAAAGTAGGATCATATGATAAATTAGAAAAAAAAAACATTTAGTGTATTTAACCTCAGATGAGACAGCCATTCCAAATATTTCAGTGTGTGTTCCAGGATCCATTTCAGGACAACTCATTAAAACAGATTTTATGACTTAATAGTTGGGGGGGGTGGTCAAATTTTCCAAGGTAATTTATTATTTTTAGTCATGAAAGCTATTCATATATGTATTGATTTTAACCCTGAATCTGCTCACTTTCCCAGGGGAACATACTCACACCTAGATAGGCAGGGCAATAGGTACTGAATGTGTTCCAGGCAGAAAAGTTAGCTAGTAAGAGAGGGATATGAAACCAGCCTTGTTTGAAATACTCAGTGACTCCTACTACTTACTAACTGTGTAAACCTGGTTAAGTTACCTAATGTCTGGATTCCTTTGTTTCCTCATCTAAAGAGAAGAATAGCACTCACTCAAAGAGTTGTTGAGAATTGAGCATCAGTATGAGGAAAATGCTTAATAGTAAGTATGTGACATACTACAACATACGAGTTTATTCATGCAAGTTTACACAACGTAAGGACCTTGGTTCAATGATAAAAGAAAACAAATACCACCAGTTAAACTTCAAATTTGGCTGGAAGCCAGTGGCTCACGCCTGTATTCCTAGCTACTCAGGAGGCAGAGATCAGGAGGATCGAGGTTAAAAGCCAGCCAAGGCAAATAGTTAGCAAGACCTTATCTCAAAAACACCCAACATGAAAATCGGCTGAATGAGTAGCTCAGGTGGTACAGTGCCTGTCTAGCAAGCTCGAGGGCCTGAGTTCAAACCCCAGTACTGCAAAACAAAGTCAAAAAAACAAACTTCAAATTTGTTTAATATTGAGAAATTCCCACCTAAGTTATCTGGTTAAACTTCCACTTTTCCACTTATTTACCAAAGAAGATACCTGTGGTATTAATAGCCTCATTTACAAAATGTTAAATAAAAGTATCCTCAGTAGAACATGAATTATACTATGGAATCTAGAACCAAGTTCTCCTGGAAACAATCTCTCTTATTGCTTTAAAGTGAGCACAGCTGTACTTCTGCTCACTGACTAGAAGCTACAAATATCTGATGGTGAAGAAACTAAAGGAGAAATCTAGTTGTTCTCTGTTCTCCTTTACCCCAGTAACTCCTACTCTGGAAGAACTGCGCTAAAGGGAGAAGCTTTTCAAGCAACAGGTGTCCAAGGAAAGTGAAAGGAGAAGACAAGTCTTTGTGGATATCAGGTCAAAGGGAGGCCTTGTTCACTGCATAGGGAAACATAACACAGAAACTACTAGAGTTTCAAAGCTCCACATTCTATCTTAGAAATATCTTTTTTTTTTTTTGGTGGTGGTGGTGGTACTGGGGTTTGAATTCAGGGCCTTGGATTTGCTAGGCAGTTGTTCTACAACTTGAACCACTCCACCCGCCCTTTTTTGTGTTGAGTACTTTCCAGATAGGGTCTTGCAAACTATCTGCCCAGGCTGGCCTCGAACCATGATCCTCCTGATCTCTGCCTCCTGAGTAGCTAGGATTACAGTTGTGAGCCACTAGCCTTTAGCTCTATCTCAGAACTATCTTTATGAAGCCAGGCCTAATGGATCATGCCTATAATTCCAGTTACTTGGGAAGAGAAGGCAGAAAGACTGAGAGTTTGAGGCCAGCCCCAGCAAAGAACCTGTCTCAAAACAATATACAACCAAAAGTGCTGAGTGTGTAAAATTTACTCATCCAAGGTGTGTACTTCAATATTTAATTTGTTTATTATATATAAATATCAACCTTCTGGGGCTGTAGAGTGCCTGCCCAGAAAGCACAGGGCCCTGAGTTCAAATTCCAGTACAGCAAAAAGGAAAAACCAAAAACACATGAAAAACCAAAAAAACAAAACCAAAACAACCTTCTGAAGAGGTTGGTTTAAATTATGTTTTGCTTAGCTTACATTGGGGTTTCAAATTATCCTAAAGCTGTTACAATCACCAAGCCCTATGACTTTGACTTCCCTACTCACTCCTCAACCTTTAAACTCCAGTGGAACCCCTGTGAACAAACACATTAGTTTTTGATTACTCTGTTTTCGTGTTTCTCAGAGAAAAAAATTTACTTCTTCGAACCCCAATGGAGAATCACTTACAACAGTCATGTAATGTAGCTTTCGACCATCCACCCGTCCTTCATCAAACTGGGTCTTACACTGGGGAGGCCAATATCATCCAATCATCCTGAAGAAGAGAAACTAGTGTCATTACTGAGCTATAAACACTTGTTTGGGGACTAAAAAGAAAAAACAGCAATAGTTATTATTTTTTAAGCATGAAAACCTCTTACTTGTGACCCAGTTGAAATCCAGCTTTCCGTGATTTGTTTCTTCTTCGGATCCCAGGGCTTGCAGTGCCAGCTGCAGTTTCTTTCGATGAAGTGAATGCCTGATTCCAAGTTCCTGAAACAATAAACAGAAAGACTGACCTTATAATCCTAATCTATACTGACTGGATCCACTGGCAAAGATGCAAATTTCTCCTAAATGAAGCTAGCATTAAAGATCTAATTCTGCATTAGATTAGAATACTACCTTAGGTATGTATGTAAATCCATTCTACATTAAAGTAGAATACTAACTGCTGAATAAGAGGCCGCTAGACAGCTAAGACCACAATTACTTTAGTGACTCATTTTCTTTGTAAGACAGGAAATATAGCATGAATAATAGGAATTTCATTTATTTTGTACAAAATATTAAATATCTGGGACTCAAAATGTAGGGTGCCTTTTTCCTTTTGCAAAGTAAGGTTGAATGACAATATGTTACATTGAAAAGATAAGTCAGTGAAAAGGCCATAAAATGATTTTGAACATATGATCTTAAGGTTTATTATTGTGGCTATATCATTAGATAAACCATGAAGAATCATTAAGACTAAACCCTTCCTTTTAAGTTTGTCAGATGAGATAAGCATGAAGCAGCTGAAAACTCAAATTTTTTCAAGAGGAGAAATGCTGATCTCACCCATATCCCCCTCTGGAATGTAAAACAATCTTATATTCATACCCTTTCTCTCAGGATTTTGTAAATGAAAAGATAAAATAGTCACCTTCTCTAGATTTTGTTGAGAATCCTGCTAAAGTGTTTGGCCAGATGCAATCCAGTGCTTGCCAGAATTCAGGTAGGACCCAAGCCTTGTTCTGCAAGCCAATTGCAAACCTGCTCCTTGGTCCATTTGGCAAATGGCATATCCGAGTCACTATAGGAAAATGAACGATGGTATAAGAAACAATTAGAAGCCTATCCTGTGGCTTATCAGTTCTGAACAACTACACATTCAATAGACATGGAAATTCTCTGATGATATGCATTTGACCATAAAAAGCTTAATTTTTAGTACATATTTGGAGGAGGAACAGATAGCACTAGAGTTGAAAGATTCCTTTCAAGATCATTGTCTTCATTTCAAATGACACAGCAAAAGATTCAATGTGAATTAGTAAGAACAAATTCTACAGAAACATACCAACTTGAACCAACATAAGCCACTGCACCAAGACCCTACCATGCTGTTTGAAGGGTATACTTCCAAATAGATAATACTCAGTTGGATTGAAGGAAATTCAAGTCTAATTTGAATAACTTTGGCAGAACTGTGGTTTCTCTCTCACTGGCAATCAGTAGGAAGAGGATAATACACTCTCACCAAGAGAGGGAAGAAAAACCAAGGTAAAATTTGTTTTCTTTTGCTGAAACACAAAACATTGTTCCTGTTTAAAAAAAAAAAAGTGAAGATGAACATAACTTAAAATACTTTTAATAGCACAGGAAATTCCTTTACTGTGTTCCAAGAAAACACATGGCAAATGTGACCACTTGGTATTTGAAAAAGGCGAAAGAATTTCCTCCTTAATGAAACCTGAGTCCAGGGCTCCGCCTGTGTGACAGGGACTGTGTTTACAGGTATTTATAGTCATTTTAAAAGGTTTAGTATCAAGGCCTGTACTGCTGTTTGCCAACCCCACCCTTTTATGCTCAGTAGGTCAGTATACTTAGTTTTAAACCACATCTACACCTTGATAAGGGAATAAGAAAAGTTCTTAGAGTCCTAATAGGTAAACAATTCTAAGGTCTTGATAAGCCTAAGAATTCTGACAGGGTTTGTCTTTCAGTGCTTTCAAGGGCTGCATTAATCTCTAATGCTTAGTGAATGGTCATCATTTGCCCCAGATACTTAACATGTAGTAACTAAGTTTTTTTGTTTTTTTGTTTTGTGGGACTGGGGTTTGAACTTAGGGCTTCTACTACTTGAGCCATACTCCAGTCCATTTTGCACTGGTTATTTTGGAGACAGGGTCTTAAGCACTTTTTGCCTGAGCTGGTCTTGAACCATGATTCTCCCAATGTCAGCTCCCAAGTAGCTAGGATTATAGGTGTGAGCCACCAATGCCTGGCTGACTCATCTAATCTTTAGAATTATCTTATGATGCTGAAGATGATATGGTTGAGATATAGAGCATGGAAGTGATCGCTTAAGGTTACGTGGCTGGCTAAAAACCAAATCTAAGCAATCTGATTCTAGAACATTGTGGGGTTTTTCTTTTTTTAATTGTATGTTTTGTTTTGTTTTTCAGTGCTGGAAATTGAACCTATATCCCCAGTGCCTCAAACCTACTCCTAACCCCACTAAGCTAAGGTACCATTCCAAGGCAATGCTTTAGAGTGCTACAGAAGGAATCATCCTAGTAGAGATGTCACTGACACCTCACATAGCTTACACAGGCCTCATCTTCTGTATAGCAACTATCAACCACTGACAAACCACACTACTCTCCACTGGGCACAGCAGGAAGCCATGGCTTGATGAGTTAACCCAAAGACAGTCCCAATACTGCAGGTGTTCACAAGGCCTTGGAGATGCTGATGTCCATTCACTTGGCTGTTCTTACCTGTTAGACTGTCCCAAATCTCGAGACCAACCCAGTCAGGGCCCTGCAGTTGCCCTTGTCCCTCCTCTTTTGAATTCGGGTTCAGACATGTCATCTGGGTTGAATGTAGTTGACTGACTTCTCCTAAGTCTGAAGAACACACAACATAGATGACTGTGAATTAGACCTAAGCAAGCCCTAGACTTTACAGTTAATCAGAACATGCTTTTTTGTTTTTTCTTTTTGGTGGTTCTGGGGTTTGAAGTCAGGGCCTCATGTTTGCTAGACAGTGCTCTATCACTTGAGTCACACTGCCAGCCCCAGAACATGTTTTAAAGAAGATATTTCAATTTAAACATTAAGTAAGGCCCAATGAATTAAGAATCCCAAATCATAATCTTTGTTACAAAAACGGAATGTGAAAGACTTCTAATTTAGTAACCATTTTCAGCCAATTTTCTTTGTTCCCTTACATTGAGCAATGTGTGAGACAAGAACCACCCCACTTGTTCTCTGTTTCACTTACTTTCCAAAGAGTCTCATGATACCTCTGGATTTCTTTCTGGAATCTGGAGATGGTGGAGACATCTGGAATGGTCTGGTCTCCTGTAAGTCTTTTGCCCGAGAAGATATACCAGTCAAATCTAAGTGCTCCGCTGTCTCCTTTTGTGTTTCAGCTATTCCAAGAACAGAAAAAAGACCTGATGAATTTTAAACTATGGAATGAACATGATTAGCTATTAGCCTTCTTACTTTTCGCAATTGTTAAGAATTCTTCTTCCATTGTCTATAAATCAATGAATTAGAGAGAGCACCCTGTAAATATGAAAAATGGAATGTAAATGTGTGTTTTTTAGAGTTTTCTGTTGTTAATTAACTTAAACTCTCTTTGAGATTAAGTGGGACAGGAATGTCATATTCCTTCCTTTTTTGTTTCTTTTTAGGTGATTGGACTTAGAGCCTGACACAAGCTAACCAAGTGTTCTGCCCCTGAACTACATTCTCAGCCCCAACATATGCTTTCCTTGAGTTTATTCTCAATCTTGATGGTACCAATCTTGATGGTCACTTGGTACCACTGACTACCTCCTACTTCCTTTAAAATTACCATCACCTTTCGCTTCTGTCACAACATCCTCTTAGATGTCATCTGATAGTTTCTTCTTTGTGTAGCATCCTGTTTTCTTCCTCCATTTCACTCCAGTACTGCAGTTTGAACTCTGGGCCTCGAGCTTGCTAGGCAGGTGCTTTGTCACCTCTTTTGGATCTCTTGACAAGCTCACCCACTCCAAGCTCGGCACAAATGATAGCTTTACTATTCAGAAGCAGGTGCATCAAAATTTCTGGCCCTTATTTCTCTCCCAGTTTCATTTTTGTTGTTGTTGGTACTGGAGTTTGAACTCTGGACCTCATACTTGCTAGGCAAGGTGCTCTCCCTCTTGAGCCATTACTCCAGTCCCTCTTTCCCAGCTCCAGTTTCTAAACATCTGTACATGTTCCCAATGAATGTGCCAGGAACATCTAGTGCATCCAGTTTCCCTTAGGGTCTTCTCCTGTCTCAGTTTTTCTTATTTGGTGTTTAATTAATATTCTCCCTGTTGCTCCAATCCAAACTCTAGCTCATTTTAATTCCTTCTTCTCCTTTGGCATTTAGATCCAATCAATTACCAAGTATTAGCAATTTTGTATTTTAGAAATTTATCAGACAAGTGTGGTGGCTCACATCTATAATCCTACCAGCTCAGGATCAGAGTTTGAGGGCAGGCAAGGCAAAAAGTTAGAAAGACCCTATCTCAACCAATAAAAAGCTGGGGATGGTGGCACATGCTTATCATCTCAGCTAGTGGGGAAGCATAAATAAGTCGATCACAGTCCAGGTATAAAAGCAAGACTCTTCAAAAAATAACTAAGGCAAAAGGGCCAGTGGTGTGTCTCAAGTGGTAAAGTGTCTAGGAAGTAGAAAGCCTTGAGAGCAAACTCCAGTACTGTCCCCTCAAAAATAATTCATCCCAACTGAGAAAGTCTTAGGCACTGAGAAAAAATGAACTGGATATGTAGATGTTTTTCTTCTGATATAAAATTAGTGTTTTTTTACTTTACCTTAAAAAAATAATATCCCATGCTGGCAGAGTGTCTCAAATCTCAAGTGGCAGAGCACCTATATAGCAAGTGTGAGGCCCTGAGTTCAAACCCCAATACTGCCAAAAAAAAAAAAAAAAAGAAAAGAATATCCCCAGTTGGCACTGCCAGATCTCCAAGTCTGAATTACTTGAGTTCCTTTAGCTGTCCCTAGTGGACAATCACACACTAGCAAATACAAGGGCTCCTATGTTTCTCAATGTAAGACTTTTATGTTTTATAAAGGAAAGTAAAAGTTGTTCAAAAATCACAGAGTCAGTGTTTCAGCAAGATACTCAGTTGCAAAAGTTGACTTTTCTACAAGCAGGCCGTGATTACAGGTTATAGTAAGCAGCATTTGCCTCTAAGCATGGACAACAATTCTTCTACAAAGACGGAAGACTATTTGGAAATGGCTGTCTGGATGAATCAGCTTATTGTGTGCATCCAGTGATCATTCTAGACATAAGGCCACAAAGAAAGTAATGTCACTTAGCTATTCCATATGAATAGATATGTGGATATCTATGTAAGGTGATAAGCACCTAGTGGGAAAACTTAAGGGGATTTGAGTACCTCTAAAAACATTGCCTTGCTCACCTTCATTTAAAAAGCATTGTATCTTTTTTCTCTTGAGGACTTTTTTCTTTTTTGCCCCCTACTACACTGCTCATTGCCCCACAAAGAGGAAAACCAATCTGGAGCCAACTCCTTAGATAACATACAAAGTTACCTCTGACACCACTAAATATTATCTCCCTCTCAAAGCAATAAAATGTCAGAAGAATATTCTCCTAAGACAACAATCCTCCCTACCTGGCTCAAACATTTCTTTTGGGGGGATGGGGAAAATGAGCACATGGAAAAGGGACCGCAAGGATCAGAGAGTAAATGTGTGATGTTATGTGTCAAGGGCTGGGATGTATGATGCACGCGCATTCCTGCCCCACACTTCACGGACTGCTGGGCACTTGAAGGGCTTCTCAGGGTTGCTCACAAGGTGTCAACAGCATTGCTTAAAACAGCATGTAGATTTGGAAGCAAAGGCTTTGAATATGGCATCTGCTTTAGCAGAAGATGGAAGGAACACTCTGGAGTAGAGAACTATGTCTTCCGATTGCTGCCAGCTTGCTTTCTAGAGATCAGAGAGGTCAAGAGCGGGAATTAGATGGGTTTGGAGCACAGCACTGGTGAAGGCTAGCATGCCAGGGTACAATACCTAAGGAAGGTGCACTGGCACTTCATTTACGATCTTCAGATATCCCAACAACGCACAAAATCACACACAGCCCAATGGAGAGAACACAGGGGGGTGACAAAATGAAACACAGATGAGACTCCTCCTCAGGAAATACACAGTGGAGGACTGGCATGCACTGTGCTTCTGAGGTTACACACAGACTCCACCAGGGTTGTCCACACGGGGTTACCTTATCCCATCAGAATGGATGGAAACTGTCTACAATGAAACTGCAAAGATTCATGGTTTTAGGTTTTTCATGGTCTATGCCACAGGAGAAGGTCAGAGCGAGGTCAGTACATCTTTTCACTGCTAAGTTAAGCTCAATGAAGTATCTTTTGTTAACTTTCCCTCAAGTCATTCACCTTCATTGATGAGAAAGAAAGATATAGGTGGATGCGTAAGAGAAGGGAAGGGATCGGACTCCAGCTGATTACAGCACAGGTATTTTGGCCACACATACCCAGGTTTGGTGCACTTGCTGTCCTCTTGCTACTTTTGATTTTAAAAAAGCCCCGACCAAAGGACGATCTGGCTTTTCGAGTGCCAAAGGGGTTGTCATCCACAGAAGCATGGTGTCCTGGGACTTTGGGAGGGAGGCTTCCAAACGTGTGACTTTCTACTGGAGCTTTTTCCTGAGAGAGGTGACAATGATGAAAGAGCATTAGCATGTGTAATCATCAAGGCAGGTCAGGCTCCACATGAAACATTACAGCATGTTACAGAGACGACTTTATTTAAGAGAATAACTGATTCCTAATATCGAATGGCATATTAGAGGTTTAAAAAAACTTTCTAAATGCTACCTCCTCGGCAGGAGCAGAGGGCTGGGTGTGGTAGTACAGGCCTATAATCCCCACTACTTGGGAGGAGGGTACAGGAGGATCACATTTGGAGCCATCCCAGGGAAAGTTAGCTGAGACCCTGTCTGAAAAACAAACTAAGCAAAAGGGCTGACAGCGCAGCTCATGTGGTAGAGTGCTTGCCTAGCAAGTGCGAGGCCCTGAGTTCAATCTCCAGTACTGCAAAAAAACAAACAAAAAACCCCAGCAGCAGCAAGACAAAGATGTCCATCATTAATCTATAATCAATGTACTTAAGGCTTTAACTATTTAAGATAAATACAGAAATTCAAGTTTTAATTTTGTTTGCCTCGGTTCTCAAAAAGCACAGATATTACATAACTTGAATAGCAAATTTCTTATTTTTCTAGCTATGATACAGTTCACAGTCTATGTAACAAGGACATCAATAGAAGCCTGGCATAATTCTCTTATAAAGCTAGCATTAATTAACCCAGTTTTACATTAGCAATATAAGGACATTCTACTCTAGTTATTTTAAACACTGTTCTCAAAGAATAATGAGAGTAGAATCAGCAACTGTTTATTTTGAGCTTTCTGATGACTTCAATCGGTAACTGTGGTGATATACTGATATGTTTGAGTATTACCCAGAGATTCTTCTGCTTGCATGTTCTCATTTCCCTAACATTGCCTGCTTTCTATTTCTTTCTTTTGCAGAAGTGGAGAAAAAGGCCAGGGCACACAGGCCTTTAAGGTGGAGACTTTGCTCTACATTACCTACTGCTCACAACAGAGTGCTGTGTCTCAACACTGATGCCAAATCCTTTCACCATTCACTGCACTGACAAACAGGACCTTAGTGACAGCTGTCTCCATGACTGCTTTGCCAGTTCTATCTGCAATGATCAGACGCTAAGAGCTGACAGTCAAGAGACTGCACCTGGAAGTAGCCTATCTATACAACTGGAACCTTTCCAAGGGTCATGGTAGAAAACCACAGGAAAGAAGACATGGAGCAGCAGCTGATATCTTTACAAATACTACAATGCTGGCTCCAAATGGACGATGACTGTATAAAATGAACCACTGGCCATCTAAAAGGGGTTTCTGTGAAGCCTGAGAAGTTCGTATGGTCATTGAGATCATCAAGTAGCATGACCATGAGTTCAGTTTTCTCATGACTGATAGAGATGGAATTCACATAACAAAAAATTAACTATTTTAAAGTTAATTTAGTTAATTTAGTGGAATTTAGTAACTACTGATAACGTGCAATCACCACCTTATCTAGTTCCAAAACATTTCCATCATTCTAAAGCCAGCCCCCTCACAATTGCACCATTTCTCCCTATTTCCCTCCTCTCACCACTGGCTTCCACCAACCTGCAATCTGTCTCTATGGATTTATCTATTCTGGATATTCACAGATGTGGAAGTATACAGAATGTGGCTGACCTTTGTGTAGGGATGACTTCAGTTAGCATGTTTTGGGAATTCTGAGAATTTTAGTTTATAAAAACATTTAAGCAATTTACATGCAATAATAGTGAAAAACATGTTTTTACTTTAATTTGGTTAGAAAAATTTCCTCTGAAGGCTTCTGAATAGACCATTTTCCTGTTCAAAATGACAATATTTAAGGCATTTAAGAACTCTTTTTATATATTGAGAATTTGTTATGTATACTTCCATGAAAAAGAAAAAGATCACATCACTTCTAAGATACAGAATTTTAAGTTTCATTTACTTTCTACAAAGTTTTATTAAAGTCTCAATTTTTGGTTTCAATTCTTTGTATTTATACATAGTAATTACTGTTAACTGTACCATGATAGTTAATAATACCCCATTAGAGAAACCACAAACTCTTCTTAAGACTTTTATTTGAAAAATGGGAAAAAGTGAAGATCTGTAAATTTTTTGTTGCTAAGGTAAGACTCAAAATAAAGAACCCACCCCATCTGATGTCTCTTTCTTCAGGTTGCCCAGGCTGCTGGATTTTTGCAGACTTGAAGTTCTAAAAATAGCAACAATAATAATTAGGGTAAAAAAAAATAAGTGGCTGTGATGTTTGCATTTCTAAGTAGATAAAGAAACTAAAATTGTGTGTGGGTTGATTTCTGGTAAGAAAAGAAAATCTGGAATCAGGCAGTCACTTATGTGCTTAACTAAATTATCACATTAAGTTCTTTTAAAAGCAGGGGTGGTTAAATGTCTTGCCAATAACTCTAAACATCCAACACATGTTAGAATGGCTAGAAAAACACTTAGAACTATCCTTGTGATGTTGATATTTGAAAATTAATTAGCGTTTTCCATGGATTAGTTTTCTTTTTTCTGTTTTGGTTTTTGTTTCCTCAACTGGACATAGTTCCCTTCTTCTATATTTCCTTCTTTCCTTTTGGGGGGTGGGCTGGGGACAGAATTGGAGTTTGTTTATTTGGGTTTTTTTGGTAACACTGCGGTTTGAACTCAGGGCCTCATGTTTGCTAAGCAAGCACTTTAACCACTTGAGCCACTCCGCCAGCCCAGAACTGGGGTCTGAACTCAAGGCTTCAGGCTTGCTAGGCGGGCACTTTACCACTTGAGCCACTCCACCAGCCTTAAAAAAAAAGAAAAAAAAAATATATATATATATATATTGAACTCAGGGCCTCATGCTTGCTAGGTAGGTGCTCTTACTGCTTGAGCCACTCCGCCAGCCCTTGCATGGATGAGTGATGCGTCCTTTGCATTTATACACTTTACTAAAATACTCATGTACTGCTAAATCTAATCCTTCTAATTAAAATACAGACAGTTTCACTTACCCATTCACAAAGAAATAGCTTTCTGAGCCTGGCAAAGAAATTATAGCTCTAGTCAAAGCACAACAGGCTATAAATATCCAGGGACATTCTCTTTTGCATAATTAGCATTTGGTTATGCACTGCTGGAGGTGATCTTACTCAAAAACCAAAGGCAGAAATATGGGAGCTGTTTAAAGAAAGAGGGCTGGGGGTGCACTTCAGTGTGAGAGTGTATGCTTACTAAGCAAGTGACTGCCCTGTGTTTAATCCTGGGAGGGGGAGAGGGAGAGGGACAGGGACAGGGACAGGGACAGAGAGAAGAAGAGGATAAGAATGAATGAATGAATGAATCTGCCCTAAAAAATAGAATAATATAAATAAACACAAACTTTTAAAAGCATTTCTCCTCTATTTACATATTTGTAAGTTACTAGAAGTGTTGACTACCAAATAAAGTGAAAAAAGGAACAATCTCTTCTTGGAGCACCACTCTCAAAATAGACTTCCCTGATATTTTTTAGACTTTCCTAATTTAATCCAGACTTCAACTTGGATAAAGATTCATGTTAGTCAGTTTCTTAAATTGAAAGTGCAAAAACCCATTTCAGCTTTTCCAACCATCATGTAATTCTCTGGGGATCTTTTCTGCGAGAATCAAAGCCACAAATCACTATAAACATGAATTATAGGGGTGGGAGTATAGCTCAGTAGTAGAGCACTTGCCTAGCATGCTAAAGAACTGGGTTCAATCCCTAGCACTGCAAAAAAAATCAATCAATAATAATTAAAAGTTAGGCATGGTGGCACATCCATATAAGGAGGCTGAGGCAGGAGGATAACAAGTCAGATCTTGCCTCAAAAAAAGAAAAGTACTAAACTTCAAATGAAAACCAATGAAGGTTAAAGATCTGTAAAAACCTGGTATGAGTCTGGCACTGGTGGCTAATACCTGTAATCCTAGTTACCAGGAGGCAGAGATCAGAGGATTTGGGGGTCCATGCAAATAGTTTGCGATACCTTATCTCAAAAAAACCCAACAGACAAGAAAACAAGGTCTGGTGGAGTGGCTCAAGTGGTAGAACAGCTGCCTAGCAAGTGTGAAGTCTTAAGTTCAAACCCCAGTACCACCAAAACCAAACCAAACCAAAACAGGCATAACACAAACATAAATGAGTATTTCTTTTTCTTTCTTTTTTTTGGTTGGGCTGGGGTTTGAACTCATAGAGCTTCACACTTGCAAAGCAGGCACTCTACTGCTTGAGCCACACCTTCAGTCCACTTCATTCCGGTTATTTTAGAGACAGAGTTTCAGCAAACTATTTTCTTGGACTGGCCTTGAACCAAGATCCTCCCAATCTCAGCCTCCCAAGTAGTTGGGATTGCAGGGGAGAGCCAGTGGTGCCCAGCTTAAATTAGTCTTTCTTCTTTCCTTCTCCCTCCTTCCCTTCCTTTTCTTTTATGAACAGGGATCACAGCCCTCCACCTCCAGCCAATCATTACAGCCCCATTAGCTTATCCATGAATTTATCACCTCAATTGCTGTTAGTACTGATTAGCATTAGTGTTACAGACCATCTTTCTCAAGTCTCAGTTATAAAACATTCAATAATACACAACTTATGGAAGATTATCACACAACTGGGCTTCAACCACAGCACCAAGGATTATTCTTCCATCACTAAAATGTAAGAGAATGTATGAGTAACATGCACAAAAGACCGTACAGATGCTCCTTGACTTACAAGGGTAGTAAGCCCCCATAAGCCCCCGTAAGTTCAAAATGCCTTTCATATACCTAACCTGCCAAACAACTCAGCTAAACTGTCCAACCTTAATCCACATTAGCCTGCAGCTAGGCAAAATCATCTGCCACAAAGCCTACTTTATAATGAATTGTTGGATACTTCATGCAATTTATTGAATGCTGCCGTAAAACTGAAAAAGCAGCTCTGTTGTAAAGTTGAATCATCACTAAGTTGAACCATCACAGTTAGGACTGTTTGTACATATTCTAAGTGAACAGAATTGTCAAAAACAACAAAAATGTACAAAGAAAGTTATTTCTAATTTGTAAAA